AGCATGTGCTCTGGTTTCAAATTTTGGCTCTACCACTTACTGGCTCTGTGACCCTTGGGCAAGTTACTTCTCTGCATCCCAATTCTTAAACTGTGCATTGGAGTAGTAATATCTATTTGACTAGGCTGTGAGGATAAATAAATTCGTATATATGTGTACATACACGCACATATTTAGCATTTGGAATGGTGCTCAGTGTGTAGTAAGGCTCTGTAGAAGTGACTGCTGTTATAAAATGTCACTACCTCGGCCGGGCGCGGTGGCTCAAGCCTGTAATCCCAGCACTTTGGGAGGCCGAGACGGGCGGATCACCGCAGGTCAGCCCGCAGCATCGAGCGGCCCATCCTGGTAACACGAGGACTGGAAACCCCGTCTTCTACTAAAAAAAATACAAAAAAAAAAAAAAAATTGACACCCCAGAGATCCCATGATATTTTGGGGGCTTGTCCAGGATCTGTAGAAGGGTGAGTAAAAGCAATTCTGTCCAGTGAGCCGAGATCGTGCCCTTGCACTCCAGCCTGGGTAACAAGAGCGAAACTCCATTTCAAAAAAAAAAAAAAAAAAAAAAAAAAAAAATGTCACTACCTCGAAGAGACCTTCCTTGCCCAGGTCATCTAGCAGTCTCCCCCAGGCTGCTGTGATTATTGTCATATTTGGGTATGTAATTACTGACATACTTGGGTTTATTTCTATTGTCTGTCTTCATGCTATTTATCCTGCTTGAAAAAAATGAATTGAAAAATGAGTAGCCACTTTGTGAGATGGTATCGTGAAATTGAACATATGTTTAACTGAAGTTCCAGAAAGAGGTTGAGGGAGAGGAGAGAAAAAATATTTGAAGAAAATTTAGCTGAAGTTTTGCCAAATTTGATCATAAACAGTAGTCCACAGCTCCTAGAAGTTCAGCTGATTCCAAGCAGGATAAACACAAAGGAGAATGTACCTAAGCTCATCATGATCAAATCGCTGAAGACAAAGGTAAGGAAAACGAGGCAGGAGAATCGCTTGAGCCCGGGAGGTGGAGGTTGCAGTGAGCCAAGATTGCACCACTGCACTCCAGCCTGGGCAACCGAGCAAGACTCTGTCTCAAAACAAAAAACAAACAAAAAAGTAGCCAGAGGGGTAACCCACACTGTACCAGATTGACAGTCAGCTTTTATCAGAAACAGTGGAGGCCAGAAGACAGTGCACTGACGTGTCAACAGCCTTGGAGGAAGAAAACCATCATCTGAGATTCTACACCCAGTGCAATTTTCTTTTTAAGTGAAGATACTATAAAAACATTGTCACATTTTTTAAAAAGCTAAGAAGGGTGTTATCAGAAAGCATGCAATATAAGAAATGCTAAAAGAAATATTTCAGGCTCTTGGAAACCATGACCTGTGGCTTTTATCCTATATGTAGTCTGCCTAACAGAGTCTGATCACTGTAGGCACACATTTGTTTTTCTTTAAGTGTTCATTGAATATTTGCTAGCTGTGAGGCACAGTACCAAGGCTTTTAGCTGAGTCACTTCATATCCTTAGAACAGCCTGATAGCATAGGCACAGTGTTGTCCTCATTTCTCAGGTGAGGAAATGAAGACATGGAGAACACAGGCCATGACACAGTCTGGGGTGCCATCATCCTAGATTCTCCAGTGGAAAATTCTGTTTTAAAATATGAAGGCAAAACCAACACACTGTCAGAGCATCAGATAGAAAACAACAACAACAACAAACTAAGACCGTATGTTACCAGACAACCCACAATATGAGAAATGCTAAAAGAAATACTTCAGCAGTGTGCTTCTGGGGAGTATAATGATATTGATACACAACATGGATGCAGAAGGATTTCCAGTAAATTACAGGCACTGGAAGAAAGTGTTGGGAGGATGAAGACTGCAGCTGAGCAATCCACAGCTTTCAAGGATCTGCTTACAGATTTGGGAAACTGTATTCCATTATCCACCCAACTATCTTTGCAGAGCTATCGTCATCACTGTTCCCTCTCCCCTAGCCTCAGCCCAAATTCTACACATAAAGCAGTATTGGTGAGAGAACAAGCAGAGCCCATGAAACCAGGCTGCTGGGCTTGAAGTCTTGCTCTGCCACTTTATGACCAAGGCGTTTATAGAATGAATGCAAAGTTGGCTTAACATTTAAAAACAGGCCAGTGCAGTTCATCACAGTAAGAGAATAAAGAAGAAAAGTCACTTGATCTGAATAGACGCAAAAAAGTATTTGACCAAATTTCAACAAACCATAGAAAATTAGTTGTATCTATGAAGAACCTACAGCTAACATCATTCTTAATCATAAAATACTGAACGTTTTGCCCTAAGATCATGAACAAAGCAAGGATGTCTGTGCATATGACTTTTATGCAGTGTTGTACCAAAGGGTCTAGTCAGTGTAACCAGCATTAAAAAGAAATGAAAGTCATAGAGATTGTAAAAGATGAAGTAAAATTGTCTTTATTCTCAAAAGGCATGATTGGATATACAGGAACTTCTAAGAAATCTACTTCAAAAAACTTTCCCAGAACTAGGTGAATACAGCAAGACCACAGAATTTAAGGTGAACATATAAACTTAATATATGGAAATACAGCTGCATAATTTACACAAAATTGAAATAATGCGGTAGCATAAAAACCCTCACAATATATGAGAGTAAACGCCAGCTAGAGTAGTAACAGTACACTTGCTATGCTCATAATATACATGCACCTGCACCACGCACACACAGAATCGTGAAGGCAGCAGCCTGGGCAAGACTTCAGGTGACTGTAAATAAGTGGCACTTATTTTTATGTTCCTCAACTCTATCCTGTCTGGCTGTGCCTCACTCTTCAATCTTTTTCAATCCAAGGCTTAGTGGGCTGGGAGGTTAAGTGAGGCCCAGGAGTTGATATAGCAGCAATGAAGTCTTTGGGACCTTCCCTGAGTCATTTTAGTGGTGCAGAAAGGGAACAGCCTGATTAGAGTGATGTCACAAAACAGGAGAAGAGGAAATGAAGATTAGCAGTAAGGAAATTCTTCAGAGTTTTAAGGTAAAGAGGGTAGAAAAACTGGGCCATAGTTGGAAGAGAATGTGGGCTAAAGCCAAACTTTTAATTTTTTTCTAAGATGGGAGAAGTTTGTGTCTTGATGGGAATGATCCTAGTAGAGGTGGAGAACTGTTGGGGTGATGTCCATTTGTGAGCGAGAGGGTGTTCACAAATGCAAGAAGGTTGGCCTTAGTATGGATGAAGACTCTGTGCTCCCCAGTGACAAGGTCCAGGGCTATAGGCACCGGCAGGCTGGTGGGTGTGGAGGCGGATTCCCTTTGCATTGCTTATATTTTCTCATGGAATAAGAAACAAAGAAATAGGGGTGTTGGAGGTTTAAAGGGAGAGAAGTTGAGAGGTTGTTGCAAAACAGCAGGAGAAAGCCATGAACTAGGTAAATATGGTAGGACGTTGGGCCACATGAGGGCCCCTTGAAGTTAAAGTGAGACCAGGCAGCATGGTTATGTAATTTTCTCCAGCTGTTCACAACTGAATGGGAACAGGTGGAGTAGGCAAAGCATTAGGCTTAGCCAGGGGCTGTGGTTTTGCCAGATAAATAAGAGGAATGGAGACAGAAGCAAGGGTGTGATTATATTAGAGCCATGGAAAGGAAGTTTGATAAGGGGGAGAATAACAGGGATAAAAGGTGAGTGGGAAAAGGTGGTAGGAGTCCTAGAGTGTAGGTCTTCTGGGTTCTAAAGAGTTGTGATAATAACCCGATGCTTGGTGTCTGTAGTCCTTCAGGGTTGTATACCAAGTGGTTTGGGTTTATTTGCATAATAAAACTATGAGGTACTCAGGGTGGTGGTGGTGGTGGTGGTGATTCCAGTAGCTGAGACAAGCTCCAAAGAGGTAAATGGCTTACTGGAAAGTCACACCTGGAGCCAGTGGAGAAGCATAGACTCATCCACAGTTCTCTACCATGGGTAGTCTTTTATCCCTGTGTGTGGTGTCTGCTCATGGATCACTCAGTCTTGTTGAAGAGATGGAAGAAGAGAGCCTGAGAGAAAATGTAATCATGCATTCAATTCTATGGGGTGGAGTAGTGTAAGGAGTTTATCTGATCACTAATACATACTGAGGACTTAACATGTACAAGACACTATTATAAGTACTAGGGATACAGCAGTGAACAAGATGAAAAAAAAGCCTCTCAGTGCTTTGGGAGGCAGCAGCAGGAGGATCACATGAGGCCAGGAGTTCAGGATGAGTGTAGGCAACATAGCGAGACCCCATCTCTGCAGAAAAATATAATATATGGTGGCGTGTGCTCTAGTCCCAGCTACTTAGGAGGCTGAAGTGGGAGGATTACCTAAGCTCAGGAATTAGAGGGTGCAGTGAGCTGTGACTGTGCCACCACTGCACTCCAGCCTGAGTGACAGAGTAAGTCTGTGTCCCTTAAAAAAGAAGCATCCTGATGTCCTGTGCTTGAGAAGTTTTAGAAGGGTTTTTCTGTGACTCTTCTAAAGCATCATGATATGGTAAAAAGCACATTTTACTAAAAGTTGGGAAACATGTTTTTCTGCTACTTGTTTACTGCTAATACTTCTGCTTCTGACACTGTTGCTTCAACTCACCATGCTTAGTGGAGGTCCCCATCTATAAACTAAGATGTTGTGGCTTTGAGAGTTCTGCTCTGTCTAAAGGTGCTGTGCACTGAGGTCAGTGTTCTGGCCTAATGACATTGTTGCTATAAAGTGTTCTCACCCAACCTCCTGCTCTAAAGTGTAGAAATGCACCTGTTATTTTGTAGTGATGAGACTCTGTTGACATAGTGAGATGCTGCGGTAAAATGCATTCAAAGTCACTCTCCACCTTTGAAACTCTGGGGAAATCCGAAAGGGAGACATAGGCTGAGTGCAGGTCCAAGTCCCGTCCTCAACTTAGTGATGTCTTAGATCCGTTAAAAGCTTGGTAATAACAAATGAATGTTTCTCCTCTTCTTACTCCTTCCTGGTGGGATTTAGGCCTGGAGGAAACGCTGGTTTATCCTGCGGAGGGGCCAGACTAGCAGTGACCCAGATGTTCTGGAATACTACAAGAATGATGGCTCCAAGAATCCCCTGCGCACCATCAACCTGAACCTCTGTGAGCAGCTGGATGTTGGTGTGACTCTGAACTTCAACAAGAAGGAGATTCAGAAGGGCTACATGTTTGACATCAAGACCAGTGAGCGTACCTTTTACCTGGTGGCTGAGACCAGGGAGGACATGAACGAGTGGGTCCAGAGCATCTGTCAGATCTGCGGCTTCAGGCAGGTTGAGGAAAGCACAGGTATGGGAGCACACACAGCCCTGTCTCAGGAGGGGCTAGATGAGGCCCTCTGATCTCCAGCAAGGAGGGCAGCTCTAGCTGCCAACACTGCCAAGAAGTGTTGGGCTTGTGATGAAGCTAAAGGTGTTTTGGGTGTTTCTTCTGATACCTCGATATCAGTACCATCCTCAGTCCTCCACCTCTCCCCCTTCCCTGAGCTCTCTGCACCTTTACCCTGTCGCCTCTCAGCCACCCCTAGGGAAGACCTCTCCTTTGCCCTCTACTGGTCCATCTCTGGCTGTTCTGGCCCACCTACTTCAGACCGCCTGGCACAGTTGCACTTGACCCTTGGTGGGTTTGTTTAGGGGTGCTTTGTGAATCTTACTGATTTATAATCACTTAGGAGGGGACAGATGAAAGGAGCAAATACAGAGTTATGCTTGGGTTTTAATAACCTTCACAAAAGAGTAGTTCAGCTTTTAAAAATGAGTTTTAAGTTGCAGAAATGCTCCTTCACATGTGTTCGGGCTCATCCTCTACTCACCAGGAAGGTTAAGGAGCAGGCTTTTTTCTTTTTTTTTTCCTGAGGCAGGTATATGGTCTAAATTGGTCATTCTTGAACCTGGTTGCACATCAGAATTGAGGGACATTTTTAAAATGTTGATGCCAAGGACCTGTGCCAAGTGAGTTACCTAGAAATCTTTGAGTGGTGGACCCAGGCATTAGTGTCTTTTGGAAGCTCCACTCTTTCCCACTTTTTTGGGAGGGTAAAATTGAAAAGAAAAGCTTCATTTTGAGTAGCAAGGGTCTAGGGCTCAGCAGATACTTCCTGTACATATTTTAGATTTTGAAGGTCACATATAGTCTCTATTTTATATTCCTGTTTTTTTAAAATGTTACAATCCTTTGAAAATGTAAAAACCATTCTTAGCTCATCAGCATCAGGATAACCTGGGAACCTGTTAGACCTGCACATTCTTGTAAGAATGTCAGTAAGTAATTCATTCTTGTAAGTCAGTCTGCACCCCAGTCCAGACTTACTGAATCAGAAACTCTGGGACAAAACACAGCAGTCTGATTTTAAGAACTCTTCAGGCAACGTTTATTGTCAGAACTGCTTTGAAAGGATGTTTCTGGAGCTATAGGTCTTTTGAGAGAGCTGATCGGTTTTATAGCCATGACTTGGTGCTGCTAGACCCCCAGGTCTGCATATAAATGGACTCTGGGTCATGGATAGGACTCTACTGCCTGAGTGCTAGACAGGGGCTGTGGAGGTGAGGGTGGGTCACTCTTTCATCCTCACAGCCCACACATACAACTGGGGGCATGAGGGATGCTTGGGGTGACAGGACAGGGTGAGTGGGTTGTGGAAAAGTGGCCTTTCCTACCAGACTGAGGTGCCTGGACTTTATTGGGAGGGCAATGAGGAGCAGTGACTGTCACCAGGGGAGTAGTTCCTTACTATGCTACATCCTTTGTTTGATCAACGCGTACTGGTTGTATCACACACTGGGCTTGATTCTGAGAACAAAACCATTTCAAAAGAGATGAAATCTCTGCCCTCACTGAGTTTCGAGCTGAATGTATGGGGCGATGAGAGAAAGGTTGGTATTTTACAAGAATTCCATTTGTAACACGAGCAATTACTGGCAAGAAACTGGTTGAAGAAATAGACAGAAATATGGTTTTAGAAAGAGAGAGAATGCTTTGTGAGTCATCTTAAGGATGCAGGGCACTGTGGAAGAGCTTTCCATGAGCAATGCCGTAAAGACAGGACATGGTTGGTGAGAAACAGTGAAGAGTCACAGTGATGCCTGGGCTCTGGCTTGGAGAGTGGAGTGGACAGTCATGCTGATGTGCCTCCCCTAGAGGGAACACAGGCATGCGAGGGGCTCATTTGGAGCATCAGGGACACCTGCTTGTGGGGTGTCTGCCTTGCAGCAGGGAGCCCCAGAAAGGCCTGAGCTGCAGGTTCAGATTTTAGCGTTGCCATCACTTAGGTGGTACCAGGGGCTGTGGGAGGACAGGATCATCCTGCAGTATCCAGAGTCAAGGTGAGGCTGAGGAGGGTCTAGAGCGGAATCCTGACGAATAGCTCCATTGAAGGCAGAGGAAGCAGATCCAACAAGATGGCAGGAGCAGAGGCTTGGCAGAGCTTCGTGTTGCACCCACCCTGGGCAGCAGCTGCGTTCATCCTTGGTGCCGTGGCTGCTTGGCCCCCTAGCATAGACTCTTTCTCCTCCACTGGTAGAGCATTCATCTTGCAGGTCTTTTGGAGCTGCAAGGCCATTGATTCTGTTAGCAGACATCCCACTCACCAGGAGACCTGTATGGGAGCTCATCTTGGAGTGCACATAGCTGTCAGTGGAGCCATCTTTCCCAGAGCCCTGTCAGATGTTTCTGTTGCTCACTGGCAGAACTTGTCTTGCCCAGCATCAGAAACAGCTGGAGAGCAGCAGACACTCAGGGGCATTAGCCAGCTGGGGTTCCTGCTACAGGCCATGAGGTGGCACAGCCAGAAATAGGCCAGATATCAGGGAAGCAGAAAGAGAACTCTGTCCGCTCTGATTTGACTTGAAGAACGCTTAGAAGGCCACCATCAACACCACCCAAACATAACCCCACTAGCGATCACATCATTTGAAATTACACCTGTAGACCTTCATTTATTTTGAACAAGTTTTGCTGTTGGGATTTTTTATTGCTGAAAGTATGTTTTTATTTATTCTGCAAACACAAACTAAAAACTGTCTATGTAACTGGCCTCTATTAGGTGAATGCTTGGGCCGTGGAGGTAACAACATCAGTTGCGGTTCTCAAAAACCCATGGACTGGGCAAGGAAGTGCCTATGATGGGATCATGCATATAATGGGAACATGGGCCAAGTGCTGTGACACCCAGAAGAAAGCTGGTCCAGGAAGTTTCAGAGAGAATATGATATTTGAGCAGGGTCTTAAAGTCTGCATGTGAGTTTGAGCAGAAGTGAAATCCAGGCAGAAGGAACAGCATAAGCCAAAGCAAAGAAGGCTGAAAGAGGCTGGTGTGTGCAGGATGACCAATGCTGCCATATACCTTGGTTGTGGGTGTAGGAAAGCAGGAAACAGGTCAGACTGCGAAAGGCCTTGTAGGTTCTGTTGAGGAGTGTGGACAGGTCCTAGGGAGCAAGTCAGATGAACAGTGTGCTGGGCTTGGGGTGCAGCAAAGTACCACCTGTCCATGATACCTGTCTTCCTTGCCAACACATCAGGAGTCTGAGATGCTGTGGAAGGACAGGCAGGAAAGCGGGGTTTCCAAGAATGCGGCTTCAGTTGGCAAGCCTCACTTGACCCAGACAGCCTTAGCTTTGAGGGAGGCCATGATAGAGGAGCCACTGTGGAGGAGGGAGGTGGTGGCACTCACCACTGCAAGAGCTGTCTTGCCTGGGAGCCTGGACCACACTCCTGGACTGTGGGGAGTCACACCATCTGGGAGTGGCACAGTCATGGCCCAGGGCACTATGAGGCTTCCAGGCTGCTGTAGGGTAGGAAAGAGGCAGAGCATCTGCTCCTCAGCCAGGATAGCCAGGAGGCCCCAGCCCTCCTCTGGGAGGACACAGGGGCGGGCGTGTGAGAGGAAGGGTGCTGGGGCTGGATTATCACCTCTGCCTGCATGTGTTTCTGCCTCTAGCAGCCCACTTTAGGACAAGGATGCCTTTCCTTCCTGTTTCATTCACAGGCTCCCTGGGAAACATTTCCTCAGCCAGTCACGGCCCCTGCTCTTCTGCAGCTGAGCCCAGCCGCTCCCATCAGCACCTCCCCCAAGAACGAGAACCCGCATCTGAACCCCCTGTGTCTCACCATGTGCCGCCCATCTGGCCCATCCTTGCACCTCGGGGGTGTCTCTGCTCGCACCAGCACGCCAGCCAGAAAGCAGGACATGCAAGGTAGGGGACCACTACAGCCAGTGTGGGGAGTGACCCCCACAAGGTCTTGTTCTTTTCAGTCCCTGATTTTTTTTAAATTTCAAAGAGAAGGATATAAAATATTGTATCTTTCAGGTTAGCAAACATACATAACAAAATTTAATTTTTTGTTTATGTAGCCTTCACATTTTATTGGTTTTATTTATGTTGCTACAAAGTGATAATTGGATTCCTAAGAAACCTACCATTATAAAAAATCATGCCATGAAAATTTTGTTTGATTTTGGGGAAAAAAGGATTAGTGGCTAGAGTTTCAGAACTGCAAATAACAAAGTCAGTTTATGTGTTGGCCTTAAGAGGACAGCTATGAAACCTTAAGATTGATGAACAGATCCACAACTCAGTTGAATTCTAAGCTGTGCTGCTCCCCAGTAGCTGCAGTCATGGCTATTTAAATTTAAACTAATTAAAATTAAATTAAATTTCGAGTTCAGTTTCTCAGTTATAGTAGCCAGCAAAGTGACTAGCAAAGATAGGCAGCATGTCCATCACCACAGATGGTTTCACAAGGGACTCCTTGCTCTGGAACCATGACCTCTGCTTCTCTGACACCACTGGATGTCTCACAGGGGCAGAACCTGTACCAGTTTTATCACCTGTAATTCCCAGTGTAAAGGCCAGCAAATGTGCAGAGGGGATGGGCTTGACCAGAGCTGGTACTCAGTTGCCACCATGGCACACAGATCACAGTCATATTCCTTGATTTGTTAGTTTAGAAATACCTAAATCATGCTGTGAAAATGAAGGCAGACAGATAAATGCCTGTGTTAATAGATTACTTCATGACATCTCCGAGAATATTTTCATACATAATCTCACTGGAACCAGTCAAACATATGAGAGATAGCTAGAAAGATCATTTATGTCCATTTTATAGGTGAAGCAGCTGAGGCTCACAGCTATCAAATGGTAGAGGAGGGACTAGAACCCAGGTGCCCTCACATCTGTCCTGAACTCTTTGTCTCACACTTTGCTGCACTCCTGGTTTTCTGATTCTTTTTCTGTAACACAGCAGGGGCTCCAGCACTCAATCTGAAGGCTGGTTCCATCAGCCATTTTCCTGAAGCAACGCTATTCCTTCATTTGTGAACTTTCAGTAGTTCCACCTTCATCAACTGATACATGAAGATCTGTGTTCTAGAAAGATAAAAGGATTAACCAAGATCAGTGAACTAGTTAGTGGCAGAACCACACCAGTACCTGCCTCTCCTGAGTCCCAGACCAGGGATAGGCAGTACAGTGCAATGGAAAGCATGGCACAGGTTTGGCATCAGCCAGATATGGCTTCAAATTCAGGTTCTGCCACTTTTCTTGTTATCTTAGGCCACTTATTTAACCTCTTTGACCTTCAACTTCCTTATCTTCAGAATGGAAATGACTAACTCAAGGGCGGATGGGTGTAAGGTGGCAGAACACACATGAGGTGCACAGTGGCAGAAGCTCAGTCCATGTTACCTGTGGTTCTCCCTGTGCCCCTTTCCCTCTACTGCATGTATGAATGCCTGGACAGAGAGAAGGGAGGTCTTACAGTCGTTCTTGTAAAAGACAGTGCTTCGTGTTGGTGCCCTTCACGCCTTCACATGCACGTAGAACACTTAGTGAGCTTGCTGAGATGCTTGTTTTCATCAGTGAACCTTGCTGACACGGACTGAGGCTACCAGTGCAGCTCATTTGCAGGACACACTTTATGTAGAAGGCTTGGTATACTAACAGCCACTACCACCTGCACTCCAATGACACAGCTGAAGCAAAAGGAGACAGACACATAAATGTCTCTGCCTGCATGAGCAGTGAGGGTCCACTTTCTGCATTCCTTCCTCCTCTGTGAAATTCCTGTTAGTCTTACCAGCAGGAGTTGGTTTCTTTGAATCACCACAGCAGTTTTTTATGTTCTCTCTCCCAGCATTTGGGGCTGTCTGCCTCATGTTAATGGATTTCCATGTTAAGATGTTCTGGATGTTATGGAGGTTGTGTTACGGATTTCTGTGTTAAGATGCTCTGAGGACACAAGGCAAGGCATGTAGTATGTCTGCATCAGTACATGATCAGTGTTTGATGGTCGTGTGCTGTAGTGAGATGGCACAGTGGAGGAGAAAGAACTGTCTACAGCTTGGGAACAGCACTGCCACAGGCCCTTGGCCAGGCTGTGCTGTCTTCTCTCTTTGTTTTCGCTTGTGTGGATGAGGGAGTGAGAGGGCAATGAGCAATATTTCAGGGTAGTTTCTTCAGAAAAGTTCAAACACTGTTTGCCAGATTCCAAGGGGAGATGGAAAATAGGAAGGAAGCTTTCTTAAGTCCTGAAAGATGATATTGTTTCTAAATGGTAGTGGCATAGCTTGCATCATACTGAATTACTGAACAGTTAGAAACTGAGACATTAAAAAACAACTGTTTGAAGGCACTGAAGAACAAATAAAACTCTGGCAGGAACTGGAACAGATTTGACTCTTGAAAGAACTGAGATTCAATTTCTGTGGCTTTTCCTAGAACAGATCCCAGATATTCAGTGTGTGATGAAAAATTACTAGCCGTGTGAGTAAATGGTAACAGTTGACCCACAGTTTAGAAAACTCAGTACATAGAAACAGACCAGAATAGACCCAGATTTTGGAGCTAGCCTACAAAGACTTTAAAATAAGTATGTTAACTTTTTAAATCTATGGGCAAAAAATGTACGTAATGGGTGAAGAGATGATGGATTTTGGGAGAGATACAGGGACTCTGGAAAAGGACTTAGAAATTCCAGCTCCACTGTGGTGGCAGACCCACTGCAGGATATCCTTCCCAGATCACAGATTAAAACTCTGGACACATACAAAGTATGATTACCCAAAGACCCTGGGAAGTAAATGAAAGGAGGCAGAGAGTGGACTGGAGAAAAACTTGGAGCAGTGAATATGCAGAGGTCAATTTTCTGTCTTCTATGGATTTGCCTCCAGGGTGCGCCCACACAAAGCAACACAGTGGGGCCAGTGGTTAGAACTTTCCTGGAAACCCCGTCTTTCTAGGTAGAGGAACCAGAAAAGAGCCCGGTGGAGCTGGGAAGGATTCTAGAGCAGAGTGAGCTGGAGAAGGGATCTGCTAATTCTGAGCATGAAACCACCAAAGTCTTATGCTCACCTTGAGCTACACATGTGTGGAAAGTCCCAAAACACTGTAACAGAGCTATATGAACTGAGCACAGCTTGGAACTGCCACATGTAGGAGAGATGGAACTTGCAGTCTCAACCTAACCAGCTTGATTTTCTGCAGAATCCAAAACATCAACATTCTCCCAAGGATTATGGCAACCCACAGTCTACACAAAACACAACATGCACAACATTCAGGATGCTATTCACAATTTCTCAGCTTACGGAGAACCAGTAGAATTTAACCAGTTCTAATTGGAAGACATAGACGTGAACCTCAAGATAATACAGATGTTGGATATCTATTCAGCAGTGAGATTGCCGGATCACACGGTAGTTCTGGTTTTAGTTTTTTGAGGAACCTTCATACTGTTTTCCATAGTGGCTGTGCTAATTTACATTCCTACAAAGAATATATAGAGCGTTCCCATTTCTCCATGCCCTTGCCAGCATTCGTTATTATCTTTTTGATAATAGCCATTTTAACTGGGGGAGATGATATCTCATTGTGGTTTTGATGTGCATTTTTCTAATGACTAGTGATGTTGATAATTTTTTCATTTACCTGTTGGCCATTTGGATGTCTTCTTTGAAGAAATGTCTGTCCAGATCTTTTGTCCATTTTGTAATCTGATTATTTGATTTTTTGTTCATTGAGTTGTTTGAGTTCCTTATATATTCTATTAATTTCTTACTGGATGAATAGTTTGAAAATACTTTCTCTGATTGCATAGATTGTCTGTTCACTTTGTTAATTTTTCCCTTTGCTGTATAGAAGCTTTTTAGCTTGATATAATCCCATTTGTCAGTTTTTGCTTTGATTACTTGTGCATTTGAGGTCTTATGCAAGAACGTTTTGGCTAGACCAGTGTTTTGAAGTGTTTTCTCAATGTTTTCTTCTAGATGTTTCATGGTTTCAGGTCTTACATTTACATGTTTAATCAATCTGGAGTTGATTTTTGTATAGAGTGAGAGATAGGGCTCTAGTTTCATTCATACATTCACATGGATATTTATTTTTCCTAGCACCATTTATTGAAGACACTATTCTTTCCCCAGTGTATACTCTTGGCATCTTTGTTGAAAATGAGTTGACTGTAAATGCATGAATTTATTTCTGGAATCTGTATTCTGTTCCACTGGCCTGTATGTCCATTTTTAAGTCAGTGCCATGCTGTTTTGATTATAGCTTTGTAGTATATTTTGAGGTCAGGTAATATGAGTCCTCCAGTTTTGTTCTTTTTTGCTCAGAGTTGCTTTGGCTGTTCTGATTCTTGTGTGGTTTCACAAAAATTTTAGAGTTTTTGTTTCTATTTCTGTAGAGAATACAGAATGGTATTTTGATAGGCATTGACTCTGCAGGTTTCTTTAGATAGTGTTGGGATGATAAGACCCAACACCAGGCCATGGGGGCTACGAAGTCTGGCGGAGTCAAAGGATTGAGAAAAGACAAGTTAAGAGTGAAGGTGGGACCAGGGGGCCAATGCTAGTATGGAGGGTGCAAAGGTCCCAAGCTCTGGGAGCCCATGCTATTTGTTGGTGATCAAACAAAGAAACAGGTGGTGAGGATGTGGGGATTGAAAGGTAGCGATGCGTCAAGGGCATGATCTATAGCTGTGATGGTTTAGCATTTTCTTTGAAGCATACAGAACATGTTTTGCTACTTGAGATAATGGGAAACATGTTCTTCTAGTTTAAGATACAATCAATCTATGAGCCTGGGAGGGCTAGAAGCAAGGAGCCACCAAGTCTAGACACTTTCCAGAGGCCACTAGGGGTTTTATGCCCTGAGTCCTGGATTCTATCCAAGCCACGAGGGGTTTTATGCCT